GGGCTAGAGTGCCGTGGCGTCAGCCTGGTTCACAGCAACCTCAAACTCCTGGGTTCAGCAATCCTCCTGCCTCAACTTCCCGAGTAGCTGGGACTGCAGGCATTCACCATCATGCCTGGCTAATTTTTCTATTTTTAGTAGAGACAGGGTCTCACTTTTGCTTAGGCTGGTCTCGAACTCCTGACCTCAAGTAACCCTCCTGCCTCAGCCTCCCAGAGTGCTAGAATTACAAGTGTGAGCAACTGCCCCTGACCTTAAGCCTCAACTTAAAAAAAAAAAAATCATATACCCCAAATAAACTTTTGGTGAGGATGTGGAGAAATTAGAACCCATGTCACTGCCCAAAGAAAGTAAAATGGCTCAGCTCCTATGGTGGGCTCCTCAAAAATAAATAATAGGCTGGGTTCAGTGGCTCATGCCTATAATCCTAGCAGTTTGGGAGGCCAAGGTGGGAGGATTGCTGGAGGCCTGGAGTCTGAGACCAGCCTAGGCAACATAGCACAGACCCCATCTCTACAAAAAATAGAAAAATTAGGTGGGCATGGTGACATGAGCCTGTAGTCCCAGCTATTCCAGAGGCTGAGGCAGGGGGATCACTTGAGCCCAGGAGTTTGAGGTTGCAGTGAGCTATGATGATGCCACTGCATTTTAGTCTGAGCAAAAGAGCAAGACTTTGCCTCAAAAAAAAAAAATTAATGATAAAATTCCATGTATTTTAGCAACTCACTTCCCAGTACATATATATATTCAATTCAAAACTGAAAGCAGAATCATGAAGAAAAATATTTGAAAACCATTGTCATAATAACCAAAAAGTAGATCAACACAAATGTCCATTAATCAAAGAATGGATAAACAAAATGTGGTATGCATATATATACAATGAGAAATTATTGAATCTTACAAAATAACATCCTGTCCCATGCATGTTTCAACATATATGAAACTTCAGGATGGATGCTAACTACAAAAAACCATTGACAAAAAGAAAAATACAGTATCATTCATCTCAGATAACTATGAGAAGCTGTTAAAATCAAAAAACAGGAAGTGGAATGGTAGTTGCCAATGGCTGAGAGGAAGGGGGAATGGAGAGTAGTATTCAATGGCTATAAAATGTGAGCATTACAAGATGAATAACTGCTGCAGATGGGACACAAAACAAAATAAATATAATTAACATGACTCAATTAACTGTACACTTGAAAATGCATAAGCTGGTAAATTTATCAGTGCTTTTTTTTTTACAACAATTAACAATAAATTATTGAAACAAATTGAAGGATGGATAAAAATTTGAATGGCGTTCCTCTGAGATATATACAAATGGTCAAAAGACATATAAAAAAGATGCTCAACATCTACCAATCAGTAGGCAGAAATTTTTTTTTTTTTTTTTTGAGA